CTATGCTTCATGATGGTCTTCCCTGACTTCTTGGAGAGGACCTATCAGCATTTTTTGTAGGACTCAAACTTGTCCAACAAGGCGTCACCAATTTGTGTATCATGCCTGTTTTAGCCATAACTATAGCCAAAGCTGTYCATATTTATTGTTGTTTGGCTCTTTGTAATGTCTGAATGACTGATCACTCACAGAATACCAAGACATCYGAAAAGTAAGACTCTAGAGAACGTGAAAAGACTTTTCTTCAAGTAAAAGCAAATGAAAAAGCGCTACTGAAAGCGATTTCTATAGTACATTTGATCCCACAAATGGCCTTTGAGCATCTAACTYAGAAAACACATTCCGTAACAATATAAACACAGTTGAATTAAATAGTCGATATTAATCATTCTTGAAAAGGCAAGCATCTGGAATATCCCATCATTGCTTTTCAAAGTATGATTGTTACAAGAATAATGTAGACTGTCAGAACTTGTATTTCTCTGTAGCCTAAATAGTCCCTTGCGTGCAATCTTTGTAATTTGTGAGAAACTCAAGGATCGTGTCCTCGGTGATATCTTGTTCTTCACTCAAATAGTAAGTACCATCATTGGGTATGTCCAACAAGACCATTGATGGCAAATCTCCAATTGGCCCTAGGTCGCAGGCTCTCCGTATGTTTGCACTCAAGGGGGCATCGGGATTGAATGCCCAGTAAAACTTAACAAGCTCGTCGCCACTTCTGTATTCTTCTGCGGCATCCCGCACCGCGTATTCTACCTCCATTTGTTCGTCTTCGTCACCGCCTTCGTGAAATACTACCAAACACTTGTGGGTGTTAATGTCGTCCGTTGTTTTGCAGAGGTCACCCCATGGTTTCGGATAAAAAGGAAAATCGGTAATGTAGTCTCCGTTTTCGATGACGGCACGAACTTCSGAATTGATAATCGGACGATCCCCAAAATTGTCGTCCTCGTCGATGGGCCTCGGTCCAAGCATGATCAGTGTGGGAWAGGACGTTATATCCAGGCGCTTCTCGAGCGCTTCCCTCACCTCCGTTTCTTCGAAGGAAAAGGAACAAAAGTTCGTTTCGCTCAAGAAGGTTTCATAGCTCGCTTCCGATGCATCTCCACTGACAAAGATAAGCTAAACAGGGAATGGCATGAGAATTTTCTGCAAATACGACTGCCAACGAGATTCTTCAGAAAGTCACACTCCTCCACAGAAAACATTTGCATCGGTAAAAAATTGGCAGCAACTTACTTCAAAATCTGCCCTCTTCTTTTTCAGGATATGGCAGGCTTTTTTTAGCCACGGCGTGAATTCTTTACAAAGAGCGTCTGCATGGGATGCAAAATACAACAAGATATATTTTTCGTCCAGGGCGTCCGTTGAGAGCAGGGTCGGCGTTGATTCTTCCCCTCCCGATATATAGCTTTCGGGAAGAATGTCCACGATTCGGTTGGGCCTCCAAGGAAATTGCTTCCCCATTGGATCCTGTTTCAAGGCGTTCACACCGTCTTTCGTAATGATCTTGCCCTCCTTATCGATCACGACCAGGTGTGGCATTCCGTTGGCCTGAAGGTTGGCTATGAGTTTGGGAAGGGTCGGCAACGCATACGGAATGCACCAAAACGAAAAATCACTCGTATAGTCGTTGTATTCTTCCTCACTTTTGTCCACGGAACAGAAAATGATTTCATAGTCCTCTTCGACATCCGCATTGATTTCGTGAAAAAAGTGAAATTTAGGAAGAAATTTGTTGCAAGCTGAACACCGAAGTCATTGCGTCATGGATTGAAATAAGTAAATAGCAGAATGGTCAGTAACTGTTTAGAGAACAAGTTCTAATCAACGTGGAGGCGAATGCTATTTGCGTTCCAACTCAGGCCAAATAATTCATACTATTGATTTGTTCAACACATTCCATTGGGAAACCATTGGCGACTCTATGCTTTGTTTCGCTCTCGCAACTTACATTCCGACCAATGGGCTCCAAAGTATAGGACAACTCCTTTATTTGTCAATACCTGCAAAGGATCMGCAGATTCTCCCGTAGCCGGTTTGACTATCACATCGCCGAGGAGTGTAAAATCGAATTCTGCCATCGTAKCTGTAATTCCGTGCGTTTCTTATTGTTTTGTGATCCGTTCTGATTCGTTGCTTTCTGTTCCGTTCCACCCTACCGATTTTTGTTGCAATCCAATGGGGTGAGATGGCTCAAACTCTAAAATAGGACCGTTCAGTTAGTTGTGGTCAATGAAAATAATTACTTCGTTCTTTGCTTGCTTCCTTTCTCGGACGGACATGCTCAAAATGGTACGTTATGTGATAGCGAATCGTTTTCTATCCCTGCTCCCTCAATTGAACTCGATAGACCGTATGGCAATTTGGTAGATCGATAATATTGTTGGTTGCGGTCTATCGTTCATGAGATGATCATATGATGAAGTACGGTACCAGGTATGCTATCTACGAGTAGCGTGATTGTTCGAGCATGTTCCCGCCTGACGACGTCGAGTTCGTATCRTACCAACGGAATAAGAAAACCAGGCCCAGTCTTCAAAACCACTTTTTCGAGAACGCCGGCGACAACAATTCGTCTGGGGAATGACACTGGCTGGGCATGATGTCTCAGACATAGTAACCGGGTCGGCTGCAGGAGGTACGGTAGGGGCACAGCACGCTGGGCATGTGACTACTTACTGTCGCTGGTACACTTCAGTAGTTTTTTTCGCTACGTAAGTCATAAGAATCAATTGCTTGTTCTTACCCCCATTATCGACAAACTCGAATCAAACCATCGTTACATACTCACGTTATACTGGTAGTAATCAATTGGTTTTCGGAGGAGTCGAATAATTTCACCATGAGAATTTTATTCGGACGAGTCAACTGTTAAGAGATCAATCGAATCGGAASTCGAAAMCAATCCATTTCGTTCCTGAATGAAATTCGAAATTCCTTTTGCATGTGTGAGGCACGTAGTACGGTACAGTAATTTATTAATGTTTGAGAGTGAGTGTCAATGACTGCGTKGAACGCTACGGCACTTTTACGAGTCCGTGTCGAACCCGCAACCGACAACGACTGACTAAGAAACCAGGATGATAGAGTAACAAGAATCCAGTACGTACAGTATCTTTCTCAACTCCGCAACGAGGAAAACTCTTGAGAAGATAACAACCAAGTAAAGTAAGTGATACAAACAACCTGGCTGCTAACTTTTCCATACTCCATTTCCAAATAATAATAATAACCATTGAAAGACCGGGACCAACCACCTGAACTATGTGGTCGAAAGCATACAAATCGCTCCTCTATACATCCCTCATCGCACGCCCCCATTGCATCGCTGCCTTCACCCCCAACGCTCTCGCCACCGTAGCCACGGCTTTGAACAGAAGCACTACCTGCCAGGAACGAAGCAGCACCCTCGCAACAACACGCAGAACGATGACTGCCGATGCCAAATCCGCGGTAGACGTGGGCGCGGACCCCTATGTCTGGCTGGAAGACGTCGAATCGGAAGAATCCCTCAACTTTGCCAAGGCCTCGAACGAGAAGTGCCTGGAGGCCCTCGGCGATCCAAAGGCCGGACCGACCTACGACCGGGTGCTGGAGGTCCTCGAATCGGAGGATCGCATCGCCTACGCATCCTGCCACGGACGCGATCCCGATCGGGACGACCAGCGCATGTATTTCAATTTCTGGAAGGACAAGGAGCACCCCAAGGGGATCTGGAGAAAGACGACGGAAGACGAATACAGCAAGGACAAGCCGGCCTGGGAAACCGTCCTGGACGTCGATGCCCTCGCGGAAAAAGACGGGATCAGCTGGGTCTACAAGGGTTCTGCCCTCTTGCCGCGGGGACGGGATCCCACCAACGGAAAAATCGTCACCAGGGGCCTGTTGAAACTGTCGCGCGGGGGATCCGATGCGGTCCATGTCAAGGAGTTTGATTTGAMCACGAACGAATTCGTCGGCGAAGAGGACGGCGGCTTTGTCGTTGGGGAGGCCAAGACACGCATCAGCTACAAGGGACGGGACGTGGTGTTGGTCGGATCCGATTTCGGAGAGGGATCCCTCACGGATTCCGGGTATCCGAGAACCGTCAGGGAATGGACCCGCGGGACCCCACTCGAAGACGCCCCGACCGTCTTTGAGGGAGAAGCTACGGATGTTGCAGTCAATGGGTACCTAGCCGATGAACGCATCTGGGGAGGAAGCATCTGGCAGGTTCACAGCCGCAGCATTACATTTTACACGAGCAAGTACTGGTTTGCAAAGCTGACCGAAGACCACCTGCTGAAACCCGAGGATCGCCCCGCCGACCTCCCCGAACCAGAGTTCAAGGAAATGGACATCCAAGACGATGCCGGATTGGATTACATGGGAAATCTCTTGTTCATTGAATTGCGATCCGACTGGACTCCGAAAGACGACGGCGTCACGTACAAGCAGGGATCGGTCATCTATTGTGACTTTGAAAAGTTTTGGAGCGGCGGCAAGGCCGCTGTGGACTACAGCATTCTGTTCGAACCTACCGAGAAAACGGCGTACGAGTACTTTACGGTGACCAAGAATTATTTGATTCTATCCAGCACGGATACCGTCAAGTCGAAACTGCAATTCTACAAGCTTGGTGACAACGGAAACTCGATTACGTTGGTTTCGGGGGGCAACACCGAGGCGAAGATTCGCGATGCCAACTGCCGCACCATTGATGCAAAGGAGAGCGACGAATTCTGGTTCACCACTAGTGGATACACGACTCCCAGTACTATGTACTCTGCCGACCTGAGCAAAATCGAGGAAGAAGGAGCGTCGGACAAGGAAGACGCATTCATCATTGAAAAACTCAAGAGCTTGCCGTCCCAGTACAATTCCGATGATCTCGTGGTGGAACAAAAATTCGCCACCAGCAAGGACGGAACCGAAATCCCGTATTTCATGATCCGAAAGAAAGACATCGAGCTCAACGGCAAGAATCCCACTCTGTTGTACGGATACGGTGGCTTTGAGATCTCGCTCACTCCGAGATACGGTGCCACGACGGGACTGGCCTGGCTCGAACGCGGTGGCGTTTACGTCGAGGCCAACATCCGCGGAGGTGGCGAGTTCGGTCCCGGCTGGCACCAGGCGGCGCTGAAGGAGAACCGCAACAAGGCCTACGAGGACTTTATTGCCGTTGGCGAGCACCTGATCGAAACGGGCATCTGCAAACCCAAGACCCTGGCCGCCCGGGGGGGCAGCAACGGCGGGCTGCTGATGGGAAACATGTACGTGATGAGGCCCGATCTGTGGGGCGCCATCCACTGCGCCGTCCCCCTGCTGGACATGAAGCGCTTCCACACGCTGCTGGCCGGTGCGAGCTGGATGGCCGAGTACGGGAATCCAGAAAACGACTGGGACGACTTTTTGCACCAGTACAGCCCGTACCACAACATCGACGCGGACCGGGCCTCGTACCCGCCGATCCTGGTCACGACGAGCACCCGCGACGATCGCGTCCATCCCGGCCACGCCCGCAAGTTTGTCAAGAAGCTCTGGGACATGGGCGAAGGAAAAGACTGGCCCGTGCACTACTACGAAAACATCGAGGGCGGCCACGGAGGTGCCGCCGACGCGAAGCAGTCCGCGTTCATGACGTCTCTCGCCTTTGACTTTATGTTCGAGACTCTGTCCGAAAACGCCAAGAACATGGACTAGTAGAGCTAAACTAGTTGAGAGTTGTTGCAACTRCATTTTTAATGATTCCTCAAAACCAAAGCTTGTCGATCTGTGGTTGCAATGCATCCAATTCTTGGTTTCGAGATGATGCCAAAGGAAATCCACAAGTAGCTCTGTAACTATCGCAGCGATAGACATGCACGCCGGTCCGCTTGAGAAGCATTGTCGTTTCTACGGAGATGGTCGGATGCCGACGCTGAAATATAGTTAGGCTTTGAGCGCCAAGACAATGCATGCATAAAAGACACCCTTGGGAACGCACAGCACCGCGAAGGACTGTGCTGTATGCAGTGCAATTGTCGTTGTTGTTGTTGTTGTTGTTGTTTTCGTCTCGTCTGCCGAGGGGGCGTTCCTCGAGGCGCGCCTCTGTTTTCGTTGCCGCTATCCGTAGCCAAGACAATCGATGGATYCGGCTCGGTTCGGCTCTACTCGGCTCCGCTTTGCATCCAAAGACCGAATCGTSGCTCAGATTGGCATCCCGTAGGGAGGCTCGATGGGTTGGTAGCCCCCCGTCCCTTTCTTGCTGCAGTGTCCGTTGTAGTGATCCACCTTGAAGCTTCCCGTTCCCCTGCCGCTCCGTCCCCAGGATTTTTCCAGCTCGCTGCGCAGCTCGTACCACTTTCGGTTCATCTCGCGGCACAGGCCAAAGGTCTTCAACATCGATTTGTAAAGGTTGCAGTTCCAGGGTTTCTGGCAAATCGTATAGTGAAAGGTCACGACGTCGTCGCTTCTTGCGAAGCGACAGTCTTCGCACTCCTCTTCGTTGGTCCTGCACCGCTGGTTGCCGTTGTCTCTGTGYWGGTAGGGRTCGTCGCTCATGTTGTTGTACTTGCAGCGATTGAGTTCTACGGACCGGCCCGGGTGGAGCCACTGGTAATAGTAGGGAAGCAGGCCCTGTATCGTCATGCCGCCGTAAAAAGGCCCCACTTTCTTTCCCCACCCTCTCTTTACGTGGTAGTCGCCGCTCCGCACAATGCCGACAAAKTCGTTGTAGGTATCGATGCTCGGCTTGATCACAAAGAAGCCTCCCTGGTACGGTTTGTCGGCTCGCCTGGGTGCGACCACGTTGTAATCCTTTGTAAACATCAAAGAAATTTCGTCGGGGATCTCCTGGCTCGGCCACATCACGGGCACGTTTGCGAGCAATTCGGGAGACTCCTTGTACTTTTTTGGATTCAGCATCAGGTCCAAGACGTCGTCCATGGGTTTGTTGACGAGTACGTCCAGGTCCAGATGTATGACGAGGGGATGCTGAACCAGGCGGAAGGCCTCCAGTTTGATCAATTCTTTCTGTGTTTTACATCGTGACAGAAAGAGAGACAACACAACACAACACGAAGCGTAAGACGACAATGGTTGAGCCAAGGGAGCTGCGTCGTGTCGTGTCGTGACGTGTCGCGTCACAGCACGTCGCGGGCGAAGACGGTGCTTCGCCACCACGAGGCGTCTCTCTCTTACCTCTCCGCAGCAGCCGTTGTTCACGATGCGTTCCCGGAGGGTGCCGTCTCCGCCGATTTCCTCCACCTTGATGGGCGTCGGTCGTTCCAGGAGGGTGTATCCCAGGCCCTCCAGCGGCAGGACGCACTCCCTGGCGTCCGGGTGGTACATGACGTAGTTCTTGTACCGGAACCGAGAGCCGGCGCCCCTGCTTTGGACGTCGAGGGAGTATTTCAGGACGGCGGCACCGTCGACGAAGGGTTCGGACCCGCATCCCGTCACCGTCGACGCAACGCCAATCGTGATCTTCCCGTCGTCCGCCACATCGTCCTCGTCCTCGTCGGTGTGCGGTGGCCGTTGGTGTTGTTCTTTTTGTTGTTGTTGTTGCCGCTGGCCACCGGCGAAAGCGCTCCCGCCCGGATCACTCGTTGTCCCTGTCCGTTCTCCATAGCGGTTGTAGATCGAATAAAGACCGAACAAGTACGCAGCGACAATCAGAGACAGAAAGACCTTCAATAGGGACACCCAACGCCTGAAKCTCCCCGCAACGACCCGTCCGTTTTGACGGAGTGGTCGATGGATTTGTAGTCTTTTGAATCGCATGCTTTGTTTCGTTGCAGTAACAGTTTCGACCCCAGTTCAGATTCCTTTCGCCTCCGAAGGGGAATTGACTCCTCTGCAGTTTTGGTCACACACGCGACGACCAGAAAAAGAAGAGGAACGTTGGAAGTCAGAATGCAGGTTTTGGGAGATCGAAAAAAGTAGTAGTAGCCTCATACTATTGATTCATATGACATGTAGAGTATATATATAGAGTRTATATATTGAAAAAAAGAGTTTTTAGAAGATGATCTKTACAGTAATCTTTACGAAGCTCTGGACCCACGCGCGACTACGAGCTATGAGAAACTTTAGTTTTTCCTGTATCCAATTCTATGGGGAGAATACGTCGATGTACCGTAGTCCACGGAGCACTCCCAATGCTTCGGATTGGGTTGTTCCCCGATTGTTCTTCGAAGAACAACCGCGTACGAGTCACTCGTAGGAACTCTATCTTCGATCCGATTGGTTTCAACGGAAAAGCAAGGATCGAAGCAGTGATTGATCCATGACACAACACAAAATGAGCCGAGACACRAAGACATTTTTATGGCCTCCGTTTGTAGTGCCGTACGGTACGGTAATTCTCTTAGAAAGCAGTTCTGTTCCCTGAACCAGTAAACGGTTTTTACACCTATTGTAAGATCTAGTGGTCAAAAGGCAATCAACCAGTGATTGTTAGTGATTGWTCTTACATCACAAAGTCGGACTTCGATCGAATCCATTCTTTTACCTTTCTACAGACTCTCCCACCACCGCAATATCTATCCATCTTCACTGTCGTCAAACACTACCAGCAAAATTGAAGCAAGGGAACAATCAGGGCTCGTGCGGTGCGAATAGCATTGAAAACACGAATGCGATACTTCTGTACATCACTACAATCATAAAGTAACAAGGATCGTAGTCGTTTCAAGAAACCACGCGTTGTGTTCTTCACATCAAAGACGAGCGCCGTGCTCTCGGATCGCAACTCTCCACAACTGTCATCGCTCGTTGCATCCTACCAACCAGCACCAGCACCAGCACCAGCAGAAATCAAAATCAAAATCGACCAACGCCGTGTCTCTGTCGCGTCTCTGCTCAACAATCGAAACCATTGAATGCGTTTTGGGCATTCGAGGACAAAGCATGAATGGCGAAAAAACGAACCAAAACTCAATTGTCGGCAGTACCAACAAGATCCAGATATCCAAACAAGATCCGTCTATCCCCTGCGTTGGAACCGGCGACAAGGATCGCGTGGACAGCGGGGATGGGATTGCCCCTACCGCTGCGAACACAACCGCTAGCACCGCTGCCGGCGAGAAGCAGGAGGGAAATGGCAAGACAAAYGCCAACTCAAGAGAAATCAACGAGGATGCGATCGGTGTCAACAACATTTTGACCGAGGTAGACAACGCCGTCATTGCTGCGCAAACCATAGCGTTTCAACCAACGAATGCGAATACGAATACGAATACGAATACGAATACGAATACGAACACGAATACGAATACGAATGCGAATGCGAATGCGAATGCGAATGCGAGTCCGAACCCGAATTCGAGTGCGATTCCAATCGCGAACGCAACTCCAAACACAACCGCGGGAACCAATGCCAACATGGCTGCTCCTTCCACAGAGATCCAAAACCAGGGCTTTTTGCTGGGAGCGAGCAACAATGCTGCGTGGAACACCGCAGCGGTAAACCCAGCAACAAACAATCCCGTGCACAACATGAACATGATTCTGAATCCGTACYTCCTCGAGGCCGCCCCCGTTGCCGCCACCGAGGTCGCCAACGACAGCGGGAGCAACAATCCCGCGGGAAACGGGAGCAACTCGTCGATCTCCAGCACCCACGCTTCCATCATGCAGCAGAACGCCCTCATCATGGAGCAAAACGCGGCCGCTCTGCAGCACCTGCAGCAAACCAACAACTTTTTGGCGGCGAACCCCGGGGCCTCCCTGGGAATCCTCGCTCCCATCATGAACATGAACATGAGCATGAGCATGAGCATGATCACGGGAACGAACACCATCAACGCGAACCCGATGGCGGCCGGTGCACAGCCCGCTGCAGCGGGAAACCCCGCCGCGGCCTACCAACCCGCGCAGTCCCTCGCGGCAACGACGGCGGCGGCGGAAGGCGCCGGCGCAAACCCGGGCGTGCTCCTTCCCTCGACGCTGGCGGTGTCCCAGCAGCAAATCGCTGCCGCGGCAGCGGCGGCACAGCACCCGCTCGCGGCCCAGTCGGGGTTGCCGGCGGCGGGGAGCGCTGGTCGAGCGGACGGAAGCAGCGGCAGCGGCAGCGTCAACAATTTCCTGAGGACGGCCATTATATTGCAAAACAGCGGCCTGCCCCTCTTCCAGCAGCCGCTGGTCCCCGGACTCCCGGGCGTTCCGGGCACGTTTGCGATCGATGCAAGCAACACCAACAACGGCCTGCTCGTTGCGGTCGGCGACAACCGGAACCGCGCCACCGAAATCAAGAACGGCGGCACCAACGGAACCAGCCATGCGGCACTCGCCGACGCCGGAAGCAACGGGAACGGCAACGGTGCCGCCGCCGCGGCCAACGCCGCCGCGTCCGTCCTGCCCATTGCCTCGGTCAACCTCCCGTTGCAGCGGCAGCAACAGCAGCAGCAACAGCAGCAGCAACAGCAGCAGCTGAATGCCTCCCTTGCGTTTCCGGTGGGAACCACCCAAGCCAGCGGTGGGAGCGGTGTCGGCCAGGTCGCCGCCAACAACAGCGTCCAGGTCGCCGCCGCAGCGGCGGTGGCTTCCATGAAATCCGGCCTCTCGACGCTCCACCAGCAGCAACCGCACCTCCAGGCCATGTACCCGCAGGCCACCATCAACCACCACCAGCACTATCCGCAGCTGCCAGGGGTGCAGCCGCCACGGCAGGCGGTCCCGGCACAACAGCCGCAGAACCTGTACCATCCACAGCCAGAACTGGCCACCACGGTGGGTCCCGGTGCCCCGAACCCCTCGGCCCTGAAACACCGGCAAATAATAGCACAGCAAAAAGCACAGCCAAAGGAATCCCAGGGCCAGTCTCGGCCCCTGTACCTGGAGCACGACTCCAACTGTAGGTATAGTTCATTCTGCCGCATTGCATTGCGTTCGATTTTGTTTGTATGGCGTTGCAGTGGTGGTTTGTAAATGCATGCCGTAAATTCGTTCGGTAGTGGTGTCTGTTTCTCCCGGCCTTGCTTTTGGAGGTTCTTGGGTTTGTTTTGGTGTATGGTTTATATTGCAAATCCGGGTTTCGATCCGAATTTCCTTTTCTTTGGCACCCTAAATTCATTTCAAGCACTCAAAAATCAATCCGCTTCATCATTCACTACGCAACACAGGTTTGACAGCCTATCAGTGCTTTCTTCGAAAACAAATCGAGTTGTTCGAGGTGGGAGAGGACGAAATGAGGGGAACTGCCCAGGGAAGGAATACACCACTGCATCGTGGCCAGGTTGGGATTCGTTGCAGGCATTGTTCCCACCTGACGAAAGCTGCAAGACCGAGGGGGGGCGTCTACTATTCGAGGACCATTGATGGCGTTTGTAAGTACAGCAGTATCGTCATGCATCGTGGAAGGACGGAAGTCGTTTTGTGTCTTCAAGTACCTACTCGAACAAACTGCCCCATGAGTTGTCCACAAATGAAACAATTCTAGGTCTAATTGGTTTCGTCTCAAATCGTTCTTTCGTGACACATTCTTCTCTCCCTATAGATCAAGTGGCTCAAAACATGTCAAAGCTACATTTTATGAAGGCGTGCACCATGATACCGGAGAGCACCAAGAAACAGCTCATATCTCTACAGAGCGTGAGCAGCCGTGCCTCTGGTGGAAAAGAATATTGGGCGGAGGGATTACGGGTGTTGGGCGTCGTGGAAGACGAGGGAGTGCTGCGGTTTTCGAACAGCACTTCTTCGTCGTCGCAAGCACCGGCAGTGTCGAACCAAGCCTCCAAGTCTTCCAAATAGATTGGTCACGATTGTCCTAGAGTTCAATAAAAAGAGTTTTCGACTCCATTTTCGCTAGCCTATTCTCAAACTTAATTCATAATTTTATAGGAATGACAGACTATACAATCGGGAGATTAGAGAAATGCCTTTGACGAGATTCATAGAAACGTGACAAAATTTTCATCGTTATCGGATTATAAGTAATATAAACAGTGCGACAGTGATTGCGCTAGACACGGTACCCTTCCCTTTTTTCATAATTGGGTGGCACTCTCGACGTAATGTTTTTTGGCCGCATCCTCTTCTAATTACTAGCTGGTTAGAACCTACGTGCCCTTCACCTTCCAGGTACGCTTAGCGGTCTTTCCGGATCCCCCCAGCCAGTCGTCAGATCGATCGATTCCGGTTCCGCCAAACCTCTTCTTTTCTTTCTTTTTGCGCGTGGCTGCGAAAGTGCCATCTCCCATCAGACAATCGTCGGGCCTAGAGGGGTCGGCCTGGCGCGAAAACGCATCTCCAACCGGGGTTAGGCAGGCCTTCAAATGATCCAGGTTCGGCACGGCAGCCTTGTCCCCATTGGAAATCTTTTCTGCGGTCGATGTCGCAACCGGCTTGGCTTGTTTCGCAGGTTTTCGAATCTTTCGGGGAACGTAGTCTTCCTCTTCGTCGTCGTCGGTAGAAGTTGTGTTCGTTTTTTTTTGCTCCTCTGAATTCGATCTACTRCTAGATGGCTTTGGACTTGGACTCGGCGAATGATCTCTCGAGTTGGAAGATGGCGTAGGCGAGCYCGTTTCGTCGTCCGATATGACAATCGGTTCGGTGGTTTCAACGGTTGCGTTCGCCTTCTTTGATTTTGGAGAAAACAGGCTCGCGCTGGATTTAATGCTGCCATTCGTGCCCTTGCCAAATCGTGAAGAGTTATAACTGCTAGTCGCAGAGCTCGAGGATTTAAGAAAGACYGCAGGGATCTTCACGGARGAACGGCGACTGTGCGATTCACTGCTGTCCTCCGTCGGATTGTTGTCAGTAGCCAACACCGGCTCTGCTGATTCGCCTCTGTTGCTGTCTTTGCTATCGTTGTCCTCCTCTTTCTCGTCGTCCCAAACAAGTATTGCGACAGGTTCCTTCTCGACCGTCGACGGTGTCGTAGACGCTGTCTTGGAAGGTTTTCTGCTTCGACTTTCGCTTCTTTGGCGGGTTCGGCTAGCACTTCTTTGCCTGGATCGGCTTTCGCTTCGTTGCCGGTTTCGGCTCTCGCTTCTCTGCCGGGCCCGGCTTTCRCTTTGCCGCCGGGATTGGCTCACGCTTCTCCCCCTGGCCTTGATGCGATCTATTTTCGACGACGAGTTGGTCGCCGGAGTTCTGGCACCGGCAGAATTGCTGCTCTTGAGCCGCGTGCGCGGCACGCTTCGTCCGCGGGATTGCCTCGCCGCACCGCCGTGGCTGCGGCCCCGGTTTTCGCTCGTGCGGGGCGGTGGCTGCGTCACCTTCGAAGCGGACTTGGGCTTCAGTGCGGCCGATACGGCACGGTCGACGGCGTCGTGGGAGATGCTGCTTTCGGCGTCGTCCTCGAAACTAGCCTGGCTGCCCTCGTCGCTTACACCTTTTCGACTATGGTGAGAAGAAGAGCTACCGGTTTTTAGACTATGGTGGGAAGAGCTTCCCGTTTTGATGGGAGTGTGAAGAGAAGAGCTGCCGGGTTTCTTGGCCTCGGGACGTTTCATGTTCGYTGGCATGCTTCGATTCCTGCCGACACCGCGACCATTGGAACCGCTGGTGTTTGTTCTTCTGGTGGGACTGACGCTGCCGCCAAACGGGTGTTTGTCCTGGCTGCTCGATCTTGCCAATACCGACGACGAGGCGGTTCGTGGCCTCCAGTTGGATTTCTTGGCAACCAGGGAAGGTCGTTTCAGTCTCAGTTCGGGTTCCGTGGACTCCGAACTCACCGAGCCCTCGTTCGTGTTGGTGGTGTGCTCGCTGATTTTCGACATTTGTTTCGCCGGCCTGGCGAGACCCCGGCTGCGCGCCGCAACGAGTGGGTTGCGCACCCTGTTCTTGGRCTTGGGCGGTGGGGGAGGCAGGACCCCGTTCGCATCGGCGGCCACACCGATCTTCATTCCGATGCGACGCGGGGCTCCCCCGAGGCCGGAAGACGATACCCCCGAGTCATCGATCTCGGGGTAGTACTCCTCCTCCTCCACCGTCTGCCGCGTCATGACCGTCGGTGTCGTCATCTCGCTAAAGACCGAAACGTCGTCGGAAACGCCGTGGCCCACCATCGGATAGCTCGGTTCCGCCGGTGCTGCATCGTCTGCCTTTGGCACCGGAACGGGAGCGGGCGTTGCCGACGGACCGGCCTGGTTCTTCTTTGCCGCCAGTGCTGCCATGGCCAGGATCTCGGGACTGTTCAGTGCCTCGACAATTTCCGGCGAATCAGCGAGCATCGCCTGGAATTTCTGGAACTTTTCCAGCATCGCCGGGTCTATGTCGGTCATGGTGTGGCAATTTGTGTTTTTGTTTTGATATTGATACAAATGCGTAGTTGTGCCKTTGATCCCTTGGCAGTATGTGCCTCTGTCGGTTTTTCTTTTGTTGACTCACTTGCTCCTGGATAAGACTTTTGTTGCCACTGGTACAAAGTGAGTACACAAGCCTTGGTTTTGTCCGATTGAGTTTGGGTTATGATATCGTCGTCGGTTTTTTTAAGTTATGAAGAATTGACGCATCGTGTCGTGACCCAACGCGCTGTTGTACCGCTTGTGTCATCTCCAGCGTACAGGAATACGAAGTGCCTGGTACAAGAATCTGCACGAGTTCTTCGAAGGAAGGATTTTGTACGCAAGACAAACCTACCAAGATCGCACATAACAAAATCAACGAATAGATCATTTTATTTCGGCACGTTCTTTTTCCTTAAGGGTGAAAGCACGTTCCCGGATTCGCAATTTAGAGGCCCTTCTGGAAAGCTCGCATACACATCCCTTAAGTAAAGACATTGAAGTCCGTATTATGCCTGTCATCGCCCAAGCAGCAATTTAAAATAAGCGCTTRTTTGACACTTCTGCAWATATAATTAAAATATCGAAAGAGTAGTTCAGTCAAGACTAAATATGATAACTTGAATTAATGATAGATTTCGTTGTGTCTCACGACTCGTATCTGCTTTGAAAATGACTTTAATGGCTTCGAAATGGTTCGTTTTCAGATTACTTGTGATCACCATTTTTGCTTGTTTAGTTTCTTCCATATTCGATATCAACACAGAAAACAGCAATAGAATGAATAATTGATTGTCATTGACAATGATATTTTCAATGCCACCGCCACCTTTTCAAACCCATTAGAATAGCGTTTCTTCTCGAGATTGGTTAAGGGAGCTGCATAAATTGTTTCGGGAACAGCCAGAGCGGAATGTATTCATGCGTACAGCGCGTTTTCGTTTCCCTTTCCACAAGAGTTCCGCAAAAATATTTTATGAAGAAATTTAACTTCACAGTTTGGAAAAAGCCGAAAGGACGAATCTTTCCGCCGATCACTCGGATAGCAACCAAATATCTGGGAATAGATATATTGGTGCGATCGTCTCCAGTTGTCGCACCACGAGATCTCTGCTAGCTTAGGTAGCACATGGGAAATTGAAACACCCAAACACGATGTATTGACAAAGTTAAAGATTATACATTTATAACTACATGTAAGAATGAATGGCCTTTTGCCTACCCTGTTGGCAACGGTCTTKTTGACATGCAATCAGTTTCGGTTTATGAGCCTCGATCAGACTCCATTTGAACGTTCACGATTGGTATTGTCGAACCATCATTTCGCTTTCTATGGTATTTCGGTAGACATTCTTTAAAATCGACTCGATTGGTAGTTTTTGCTTTGAGATTCGAAGAATTTGCGTCTCTCTCTGATTGACATCGATCGCGCCATTGGTTGGCTGCTTGCTTCTGGCTGTTCAGCGCTGTTACTCGTCTGTGCTTCCTGTGTTTCCGTCAGAGCCTCGTTATTTTCATCGTCTGTTCGATCTAAGCCGTCTTGAATCTCCTTACTATCGACGTTTAGTGGCTTTTTGTTGAAACGATTGCACTTTAAACCAAGAGACTGAAGCGACGCATCGGTTTTGTTTTGTTTTTGTTTCGCATTGAACTGCGCAGTGTCATCGTCTTCAAGCTCCGATTCTTCTTTTGGTTCGACAGTTTGATCAAGTGGAGCATCTTTCTTTGTAAATCGATTGTACTTGAAACGATGAGAATCATTTGTTTTGTTCATTTGGTTTCGTTCCTTCTTTTCACTCAACGGCAAAGCTTCGCTGTCAGCCCTCTCTTTTTCATCAAGAACAATCTCCGATCTGGAAGGATGTTCTCGAATGGATTGAACTCCTGAAGCCAGTGCAGTATCATTTTTCGTGAACCGACTGTATTTGAAACGGTGAGAAGGAGCTACTTTGCTTTTTGCGACCTTTCTTTCATTACCAGTCGAGGCCTTGATAGAAACATCTTTATCGTCTTCAGTGTCAGTGTTGCCAACATCTTCTCTTTTTGGTTCAGTTTGAGAAGTGGGCGCCACGTCAATCTTAGTGAAACGGTTGAATTTGAAACGGTGCGCAGGAGCAGCTTTTCCCACTTCGTTATCATCTTTATTTTCATTCGATGGCTTGATCAGAGGACCCTTTTCATCTTCAGCCCCCGCATTGTGGGAGCCTTCTTTGCGCAATGTTGAAGGTTGTTCCCTCTTTGGTTCGATAGGTGAAGTCGGTTTAGTGCCAATTTTTTTAAAACGGCTGTATTTGAAACGATGGAAGGAAGGCTGGTTCGAAATGTTACTCTCCTCTTCATTTTCTCCATTAGAGTCTTTCGTTTTTGCAAAATTATTGTACCGTTGGATTTTCTCCAGACTTTCATTCTTTGGCWTGGGTTCGTTGCCGGATGTGTCTTCCGTACTTTTGTTATCATCTGTTTCTTTTTGAGCAATTGAATGGCGATGAAATTGTGATGATACTTTCTTTCTTGCAACACGGTTGTACAGTTGATGTTGAGGTGCTTTATCGTCAGTCACAGTCCTTTCGTTGTTGCTACCGGCAACTTCCTTTGATGCATTTGGTTCACGTCTGCATCCTTCTTTACTCATTTTTCTCAAAGATTCCTGGCGTTTCAAAATAAAATTCTGAGTTGTGGCCTTCTTCTGATTTGAATCATTCGTTATTGTTTCTTTACTTGTTTTTGAAGCCATCAATGCCATTGCTTTTTGGGACACAGAATATAGGAGAGGATCTGGTTTGCAAACAACTGAGCGATTCTCAGAAGCACTGAGGCAAGTGCTAATATTATCTTTTAGCAAAAAGTCTTCTTCTACAGTAACAAACATAGGAAGATCTTTGTCACCAAGAGGCGAATGATCGTGCACCCGTTCATCTGTATGTTTTGTGGCAAGGGTCGCCGTATCGCGTACGCTCGATTGGTCTTTTCCTACCAATGGTCTTGACATCGACAATTGCACTCGACTTTGGTTCAGATTCTCGAAGAAGTTTTTACGAGCCGAATACCCAACTTTGGTAGGCGTCACCTTGTTAACGGTCATTTGTTGTGTTTCTGTGACATTCTTCTTCTCTTTCTGGATACTCTCCAGCGACTTCCGTGCATTTTGAATTACGACTTTATCGCTATCGACTTTGAATTCATCGGAATCCCTGCTAGTCTTGCAACGCACCAATACATCTGGTTCATGAGAATGATTCGATGTTCTTTTTCCAAGACTTGAATGATATGTGCCCAATACTTTCTTTGCAGTTACAAGCGTCTTGCGCCTATTACTACCAATGCCATCATCAATATCGTCCAAGCCGTTGTCGCTGTTATCGTCATCATGAGTAATCGATGATCTTCTCGCTTCATGCAATAATGTTTGCGCAGGTTTAGTTTTGCTCTGAACTATTCTTCTTTTTTGAACAACCGTCTTGACCGTCAGATCTCCCAGCGATGAAGTCAATGACCTTGGCGATTCAGCACAGGTAGCGGACTCGATACTTTTTTTCCGATTGTTTTCGACTGAGATACCTTCTGCTTCAAACATTTTTCTGCGATCTGAGAGAGAGATTTTGTTCCTTTTAAAAACACATGGTTTTAGTTGGTCGCGTACCTGCATATCGATGCCACTCTCAATTCCTTGATTTGAAGCTTGTCCAATCGAACCCCCCTGTGGAATTAGACTAGACTCTACTTGTTCATTAGTTTCTGGAATACTGTTCTTCTTGTTTCCATCAGCATTCTTCCAAGAACTAGATGCTCTACTTCTGTTCCACTCTCCACTTGTTCTTTTCGCTTTATTCTCGAAAGATTCTCTTTCTAATGAAGTTCGGATCTTCTCTACTTTGTTCCGAACAGAAGCTTCTGAAATATCAGGAGAAAGCTTATTCGTGTTGCGGTTGCGGGTTTTCGATAGTGTCACCCCAAACATACTGGCACTTTTTTGAGCGAAATTATTCTTATTTGCGTCGCTATTGGGAGAAGAGCTATTGATTTGAAGTGCATGAGGATCTGTGTCTACTTCATCACCTTCTTTCAATGATTTTTGTTCGTTTTGATCCTTCTTCGTCATCTCGACACACTTGTCCTTTCCACAATCTTCCGAGACGTGTTCTTTGTAATTTGTGTCTCGGGTTATCTCGCGCTTGCTCGTATTTTTCATAAAATCAGACACAGTTGGCTTGATATGGCCAACTACATTGATTGTTGTACCTTCCAMTTCATCTCGACTCTGAGTATCGACATGTGAGACATATTCAGAACTTCTCAATGTTCGTTGATCTTGATCAGATTTCAAATTTCGTCGTGAGAGAGTTACTCCAAACTTGCTTGCGTATTGGCGAGCAGTGCCATTCGAAGACATTGTCAGGCTTGATACATCAGATATGTTCTGAGAGCAATCGCGGTTCTCCTCTGAACCAATCCAAGAATCAGTTCTTTGTGCGCTGAATTCTTTGGTCTCTATGGTTTCTCGTCCTTCGTATTTCTTGCCGCTGGAAGAATCTTTTAATTCTGAGTGATCTGACTGCGAAGAGATCATGGCAACACAATTCTCTTCATTAGTCTCTGTTTCTAATGAAAGTTGCTTAGATTCAAAAGAAAGCATTTCGGGAGAATTTCTTTTGCCCCCAGTGTTTTCAGAATCCTGTCTTTCATCTTCGATATTCGTAGTGAGAGCACAACATTCATTTTCAGATATGTTACTTTCAACCGAAGTAATATCACTCCCACATATCGATTTGGAGATACTATTTTCGATATTTTCAACTGTTTCGCTTTTAAGGGGACAATTTCCTGATTCGGCAAGATTATCCAGTGAAATCTGAGACTGTTGTTTGCTTAAATTGGATGTAGGTTGCGCCACTTTTGTTTCACCCTTTGATTGGAACAACTTCAACCGATCAGAAAACGATCGCACGCTAGTTTCGATTTCGTCACCTTCTTTCTTGTCGTCCGGATTGGAAAGCCTTGACGTGACCTGATTAATATTTTTTCTATTAGTTTTGTTTGGAGACTTGTAGTCACCTTCCAGACCAGTTCCTATTGTGTCTTCGTTGAAGTTGTCCTCTAGAAAACGTTCTCCACGAATAGAATCAGAAAAAATAGTATCCTCTGAAAGGGAAGAAAGAATAGGTCCATGATCATTGTAGAGCCAGTCTTSAAAGGCATCCTGTTTGTTATTCTGAGAAACAAGTTCTTCCTTTTTCTTGTCGGCCCCTGCCTCTGGTTTAGGAGGTTTGTTCGGAGATTCTTTCGAAAGAGTTTGGAAAGGATCAAAATCTGCGCACGGTTCATTACTATTTGATTTTTCATGASCRAGACGATCGGATTCGATTGTTGGTTTTGCATCTTGCACAGTTGTTGGCGCAGGTGTGAGAAACAATTTAGGATTCAACGCTACTTTATCCTTTAGAATCCTTGAGCTGCTTGGATTTGACTCGATTCCTTCTGCTTCACGGGTTTCAAATCTAGTTCGAAAGTTCAGGAACGGAAGCGTATCCTTGGCCTCGTCGAATTCACTGAGAGGAACAGAACCTGAAGTTTCAAATGACTCGCGGTCCTTGAAATACCTTCCTATCGTAGTCTTGTGATTCGATTGTTTGGGAGATTTTCTTTCGTAGATGCCCGGGCTTTTCACAATCGTTTTMATTTTCCTGCGTCCCAATTTAGGTTTGCGCCATAACGATGTAAAATTAAAATCATTATTCTTTTTCCTGCTCTTCGGCAGAGTGTTGAGGTGATTGCTATTCTCATCTTCGATCTCATCTTCGATGTATTCGAACGGCGCAAAATTTTCCTCGGGGAATGCCATGGCATCGTCCGCTGTCATCATGTTCAGACGACTAGCTGTGGCTGCTGTCTTCTTTCTCCAGTGTTAAAATTGTTGCGGTGGTCCGGTATGCCGTTGTTTTGGTGTTCAATTTCTGAGGTATGATGATGGCGATGATAAAAAATAACAGACCTACGCTGTACCGTATTGGAAGACGACAGCTTCTCGAGAAGAAAAAGCGATGAGAACTTTTCATGACAAACAAAATTTGATGGATTTTCTCTCTTTTAGTCATGACGGCTTCTCCTCAAAACTGAAAACCGTTTGTTGGAATTGCGCGCGTCAGGCGAGTCGGTCAGACAGTGTGTGATTAGCACGATTGGAATTTCCAAACGCGCCTTGTTGAAAGAAGATTCGAAAATCGTGATTCAGCCCGAGTTCCATTTGACGGGACTCATGACGACTGTCGACAACAACTACGAAGAACCACGTACGTACGAAAAAAAATGATGTTAGCTTACCGGTACACGGATACAAGTACTGAAGTTACGGAATATGTTTTTCTCAAATTATCCACAGGTCTTCTTGCTATGCAAGACAGAAAGGAGAGTTGCCGAGCACTTTCTAAAACCTCACAAACATAGGCAAGCCTTCCATTCCGTTGCAATATTCCGAACACAAATAAACAACCAAGGCAATGTCTCACTTGGGATCCCTCGGCACGGCAAAGCTTGTGCGGCTCTTCCTCCTTCTCTTGTACACCACGGATGTTGCGAGATCGTTCGTGCCCGCGTTTCTGCCTCGCACACGCATCGCCCATGCCGGTCCTCTCCAATCCACCCCACAGAACGCCAACGAGGGTGCCAGTGAGGATATCCTTCTCAGGATAAACCTGGGGATCAACACCGGAGCGGAGCCCGAGTCTTCCCTGGAAGCCGTCAGACAATACGCAAGGTCGTTTCCGTTTGCTGCGGTTCTTCCCGTGCAGCCCCTGACGTACGTCCCTTCCGAGGACGGCACCGGTGTCAAGGTCACCTTTCTGAGAAAGAAAACCAAGGAAAAGGGCTCTGTCGACGGGGGCATCAATATTTCCGTAGACTTTACCTCGGCGAAGGACGAAAACGATCTGGATCCTTTGGGGGGGAAACGCATTAGGTTGCTGGCAACCAGGAACTCGGAGGGACARACAGTGAGCAAAATATTCAGTGAAAAACTGATCGTTTTGGCTTTTGTGAAAGGTATTTCTGGGGACGATGCACAAAAAGCTGGCAAGGATTTATCAAACATGGTTTCGATCGAAAGCATCTTCCATAAGTGGCTGGCATGATGAACCGTATGCATTTGCCAKTGGCCATCGGTATTTTTGTTCTCGTTGAGGTTGACGAAACCATTGAAGTTCGAGGTTGATGGCATTACTATCCTCCCACAAATTTGAAAACGTGTGCAAAAATTTCTAGCAAAGGAACTCCAGCTGTTGCGATGGATCTTCGAMAAAGGTATCTGGACGGCTCGTCAGAAAAGATACTGACGATGCATACGATATTGATTGATTTCAAAAGGAATAACTATTGCTTACCACKCGAGTAGCAATTATCATCTGCTAATGGACAAGTTAATAGTGTGGCTTACTTCAATGCTTGGTTCGTTTCTTTTCGACGATTTCCAGCGAGAACATGGATAGATCATTCTCGCCGTTTTTTATTAAGTTCTGATGCGACCATCAGTTTGCATTCTGCTTCGCACTGTAAGAAAGGCAGAGGGATGCGTTGCACCGGCACAGATGCAACGTCTCGTTGCTACCTTAGCATCCGATTTCCTCCTTGGTTGCTGCTGGTTGGTGGAGAATCTTCCTTTCCTTCGGTTCCAAAGCACGCTTGTCGTTGCGAATCGGTGCCCACAAWRGTTCTGGCATYCGTTCGTTTCGTTTGCTCCCGCACTAGTTTTCCCGACCACCGGCAACGCGGCTCTGCGGTTCGTKYCGATCCAGGAGCGCCTGGGCGTGGTCCCGCCATTTTTCTCCCACCGAAACGTTGAGCTGGAAGGACATGGCGAGGCCCCGCAAGAGCAGGGACGCCCTGTACACCATGCTGAGCTCGTTGGGAAAGTAAACGATCTCGTCTTCGTCGTGCAGAGCTTTGTGCCAGTCTCGTTTCAGGTACTCGCTCCTGAATTTGCCAAACATGAGCCGGGCAAACGACGACAGGAACCTGGTCGAATCGTTCTTGGTGACGAAACCAATGTCGCGGCAGAGATCCGCGATTTCGGCGTCGGATTCGTCGTTTGCGACCCCGAGCATCAGCCTCGCCACCTTTTTGCGTTCCTCGGGGTCTAGGCGCTTGCACTGTCCGTAATCGATCAAACCGAGTTTCGCCCTCGACTTGTTGGTTTCKCCGCTCTCGCTCTGGATCACYAGGATGTTTCCGGGGTGGGCATCGGCATTGAACAAGCCCTCGTGGAARATCTGGTATCCGTGCACATCGAACAGCGCRTCTATGGCATCGCTCGTCCAGTTCAGCATTTCTGCCTGCGAAGCTGCGTTTTCGTGGTTCCTGGCCCATTCCAACCAGGATTCGGAGACAGGCATCACCGACGGCGCGGTCTTCGATGCCGCTCGGATGGTCTGAACCGCCAGGGCCCTCGACCAAAGCAGGGCCCTTCGGGCGAGACGAACSAGCAAAAGRATGTTGTCGACCCCAACAAACATCCCCACCCGCTCGGCGAATTTCATGGCCCACGAGTTTGTTGGCTCCGACGACGAGTTGGAAAGCCACCCGGGGAGAGAAGGCTTTCTGGACTTCTTGGAATCGGTCCCGGCATACGAGTTGGCGTTTGCGTTTGCGTTCGTGTTCGTCTCCGTGCTTTCCCCCCGTACCACAGACTGTACCCCACGGCTCGTATCGATGCCGAGGGCCTCGAGCTGCCTTCGGGCTTCTTCCTCGAACTTGGGGCCCGGCAGATAGGACATGGTGATGACGCGACCCGTGCACAACTCCGGGAAGGCCCTGGGGACCTCCACCCCTCGTTTTGCGTACGGCGACTCCGGATCCAGGCTGCTCTCGTAGACTTCCCGGAGGTTGCTCGCTTCCCTCCGGTAATCCAGTTCCGCCAGGAACTGCCTCGAGAATTCTTCGTAGGACAGCTTGGCCGAGGACTCGTCCACTACCCCAAAGTAGACGCACAGGTCCAGGAAATCCCCGACGCACTTGACGTCCGCCGGCACCTGCCACTTTGCGTCCGGGTACTGGACCTTGATCACGACGTCGCGGGAACCGCCGTTGTCTTCGTCTTCGTCTCTGTCTTCGTTTCCGGTTTCGCCGCCGCCCCGGACCAGTCTGGCCCTGTGGGCCTGCCCGATCGATGCCGCTCCGCAGGGTATCTCCTCGATGGATTCGAAGACCTCTTCGAGGGGCCGTCCCAGYTCGGCCTCCAGGGTCGGCCGAACGACGCCCACGAATTCTTCGTGGCCCGGGACACCCGACTGGAGCGTCCGAAACAGCTCTCGGTACTGTTTGGGAACCGGCAGGGCGGTCACCGAAAGGACCTGGCCGAGCTTGATGTAGAGGCCGCCGAGCTCGATCATGATGGAGTAGATCCGCGGCGCGTTGCGCTCGTGGAGTTTCCGAAAGGTTGTGCTTCTCGTCCCGGTCTCGTCCTCGTCTCCGAAAACATCGTCGCTGCTGCTGCTGCTGCTGCTGTCGCTCTCTTCCTCTGTACCGTCGGTTTCGCCTCCGCCGCTCTCGCCGTTCTTCTCGCTTGAGCCGAATCGCTTCCGGAACCTCACCAGCGGGCTCGAGGAGGAGGCGTGCCACCAGTAGTCGACGACGATGGGAGCCACGCCCCCCCAGAACCGCACCTCGCGGCGCAGCCCGAGGCCCCSTTCGGTGCACGCGTACGCCGTGACTGCCGTGCCCCCGGCGACAACCGTCCCCCCCAGTCCGATGGCGGCTCCGCGGGCAATCCTGGACACCAGGGAGCGGAGGGGCGTCATCCTTTCGTGCCGTCCGTGGTTCTAGTGTCAGTGCCCTGTGTTCTGTGATTTGGTTTTGGCTTTGGTTTTGGCTTTGGTTTTGGTTCCTGTCGTTTACAATGGAACTTTGTCGGAAAGCAAGAACTGCGAACCGCGTCATTCATGTTCCAAAATTCGTTCGTACTTTTTCAGTCGTGTGTCGTGTGTTCAACCACAGCAATTGCGATAACTCTGACTGTGTGTGTTGGCGCTATCTCAGAAGAAGTATGGTACGAGGTACGTACTCGTACTACCTGGAAGTGCACCCCCTGTACGTACGGTTGGGGGAATTCACGTACTAGTTTGTAGAGTCTGATGTTTTCAGGTTATGGGTCATGGGTTTCACCATACTATTGAAATCTATGACAGGAGCAAGCCCACTCCTSTTACAGCCTCCAACAGGCAAGGAGACTGCAGACYACTASTAGTASKWC